CTGGTGGCGGCGACGGAGGTCCAGTCCGACCGAGGGCTGCGCGCGGCGCCGTCACCTGGGCGCGAGGAGGCGCGGGCGCTGTAACACCCCGGTGTTATGCCAGCATTTAGGCACTGCAAATCATGCATATTATGCATCATCAAGCATCCTAATCATACATACCTAATCATGTAAATAATAATTGAAACCCTGCTTCAAAACATACGAAACATGCTTGTGAAACGTAAATGTTTCATACACTTGTTTAGTGTTGTTTTTGCCCTAATCATACTTGGTAGGTTAGTAAAACTTGATTGGTTATGATTGTAAATCATCTAGAATTATTTAGCGCAATTTTTGGAGCAAAGTTTGTATTGCAATTATTGCCAAATTCTGCTTTAAAAATAATTCTCCAAAATTAGGGTTTTGAGTTAAAATTGACTTTAATTTTATAATTCCAAATCTAGATAGAATTGGACTTTGGTCATAAAAGAAAAGATGTAGAGGATTAAATTCTAAGCAACTTTCATTTTTGGTACATTTTCAAAAGATGTCATTTTCTTGCTCAAAATGATATTTGAAAGCTAGTATTTGAAAATTTCTTGAAAATATAATTTGAAAAAGGCTTTTCTCCTTTCACGGCCGCCTCGTTTCTGCCCACGGCCAAGCCGAGCCAATGAACCCCCACGCCCGCGCCCAGCCCACCTCGCCTCGCCCAGCCCAGCGTCTGTCTGGCTGCCAGTATTGTCGTCGCGCCCATTCCCCGTCATTGTTCCGACCAGTGGCAGAACGCCCGCACGCCATGGCGATGCACCATGCGCTTGGCTGGCGACGCCTGCTTGCCGCAGCTTGCCCGACTGACTCCCGCTCCACGCGCCTTACACCGCGCCGAGCGGTCTTGTGCTCTCCACTCCCTCACTCACTCACTCAAGAAGCGGCGGCAAGAAGCTGCGTGCGTTCGCGATCACCACGCGCGCGCGCCTTTGCCGACCAGCTCGCCGGCCACCACGGCTCGCCGTTGAACCCTCCACCTCACCCGCAAAGATCGCCACCTCGCGCACCACGCCGCCGACACGCGACACGCCCGCGATTCGACCAGAGGTGAGGCCCAATCAATCACCGTGTTTTCCTCCGTGTTGTCGCTCGTCGGAGCTCGGCGCGGCAGCTTGCCGCCGCCGTGGCTAGCCCTGCCCGCCTCCTCTCTTCCTCTTTTTAGCAAGAACGTGGCGCCTGCGCAATGGCGGAGCTCGGTTGCGAGTCAGTCAACGACGCTCCGGCCCGCCACTTTGCGCCGGAGCGAGCCCGTCGTTGCCGCTTCTGCGGCCGCCTGCCAGCGCGCATGGCCGTCGGCCACCTTGCTCGGTGGTCCTCTCGCCTTGCAAGTTGTACCAACGGGCGCGCATCGGCGTGTGGAGTCCAACGTTGCCGACCACGCCGCCGGCGACCTCACCGCCGGTGAGATCCCGGCAAAGTCAAAGCAAATCCCCGCCTCGGGTGACCGGCCGGTGGGGCGTTTGATCCATTGGGGTCAGCGTGGCAGCCTCTCTGGGTGTCTGAGATCGGGTGCACCAATGATTGTGTCATTGCTGAAGTTTAAAATGATTTCAAAAATGATTTTTTTAGATTTCTACTTAAAGGCTTTGGAAAATGTTTGTGTACTCATTTTGGCTCCAAATTTGTTGAGACAAATTTTGCTAGGTTCCGTGTCACCAGATCTACATGAGAAAAATATTGCATGTCATTTTTAAGATACTTTTCTGTAGAGCTTTATTTAATCCTTGATATTGCTGATAACTTGAAAAATGTGTAGAAAAACCTATAGGCTTTAAAAAAATATGATTCCAAGTTTGTTAATCTTCTTATGTAATGTATTTCCTAGGAAAAATATGTGTCATGCATGTGCTGTAGAAAAATTATGAGGTGTAGTTCAAGTGCCTTTAATGGCTGATGTTTGTTATTTTTGCTAGAGAGCAAAGATTGTATAAAACATGCATGTGATAATTTTTGTACAGGGATTGTATGCTTTGAAGATCATAGGAAAAATACTAACTCTGTTGTTTGACCCTTTTCACAGTACAAAGTATTTTCATGTTCATAATCATGCCATAGCTTGTTATTTTTGTGTAGGCTAATCCACTCATTCAAATACCATGAAAATCTGATGGTAGACTACCTAGGGTAGTACTGTGCTATGGTAATTTACTAAGATTTTTCTAAGCAATAAAAATAGATGTTACTATTCAAACCTATTATTAATTAGGGTTTAATCAAGTGTTGCTTTATGTGTGATTAAGAAATTAGTAAAGCTTTGGTGTATCTTTGAAGCATTTAATAAGATGTGTTGACTTAGCATATTAATAGTAGAAGAGAATGCAGTAGATGACATGTGCTTGTAGTATATGTTCTTGGATGATGTTGACTACCTTGCATTCAAGCATACCCATTGTATTCATCTCATCCGATGCATCGATGGCATAAGCACTTACGCACATTGCATCATGAGGATCGCAAACCGAGAACCCAGTCGTCATACCCGAGGAGCCGAGGAGCAGCTCAAGTGCGCTGCGCAGGAAGTGCCCGGCCGACGGAGAGGACGTTGAGGAACTTCCGAGTGCCCCCGATCACCGCCCGAAAGCTCCTTCGAGAGAGGCAAGCCCGAGCATTTTCTCCCGGTTTGCAATTATTAATTAAATGCTTTACTTTAATTGATGCATTACGTCAGGAGTTGTTTGCAACCGCGTCGCATTATACCTTGTCTACCTTTGTTATACTATATCCTTGTTACCACGTTATCCGCAATGAGTCAATGCTTAGCTCGCTTAGACCGGTAGAAGTCGGTGATTTCGTCACCGCGAGCTATAGGTGGTTACCGGATCTCGCTTGGATAACTATGTAGTCATGGTATAACTAAGTGTTAAATGAAGTTGAGACCGGATGGAGACTTACGTAGTTTTGAACTGTAGTGTGCTTTTTAAATGCGTGTCGATTAAGGACCGACCGTTGTTGGGTCTCGAGTCATGTTGAACGATGCCTTACATTTTAGCTGGCCGGATAAAGTACCTTCCGACCGCAAGCCGGGAGATTATTCGGCCGAGTAGATTGCCGCAGCCAAGACCGTGGTTTTGAGCAGGTGTGGTAGGACACGGGCGAGATGATAAGACCAAAGTGCAATCGGTCGGCCCCCAGGTACAGGTGGTTCCTAGCAAACTCGAGACTCCTGGATAGTTGACTCGGTGATCAATACCTCACTTTAGCGGGTGAGTGAGGTTTGTGTAAGGAATAAATCACCAGCTGGTTAGGAATCGATTCGAATCGCCATCGCTCCTAGATAGTGAGCACTTGACTTGAGTTACTTCATCGTAGTAATGTTAATGGAACACTTGGACAGTTATAATGCATATGACAATATGGAAGTGGTTAATGGTCATTGGTTATCATTATTGGCTTAATCACATGTTTGCTCTAGTATAGGTGCAAATCTAGTCGACAGGTTATAATTAATTAACTTGGCAATAATGTCTTTAGAAAGGTTTTTGAAATGCTAAAAATGCTTTCTTTGTAAATGAGTCAGCTACCCTACTATAAAGCCCTTCATAATCCTTGGTGACATTTATTTTCGGTTATGTCGGGTAAGTATAGCTGAGTACCTTCTCGTACTCAGGGTTTTATTCCCACTTGTGGTAGATGGACAGATGTATTACGGCTACTATATCAACTGCCTTTATCCTACGATGGGTGATGCTTAGGACCATGGGCACGGTCATTCCTTACGTCTCGTCTGATGCTTTTGTTGGAGATGATAATTAGCTAGACTGTATTTGAACTCCGTGTGAGCGTGTGTGGTTTGAACAAATGGCTTCCGCTACTTTTAATTGAACTCGTTTTGTAATAACTATGTTTAAACTCTGATGTATCTGAGATGTAAACTTTTATGTAATATGTGATGGTGACCGCTAAACTTATTACGATCTTGGCTGGAATGGAAGTTGGTTTGAAATTCTTCGTGATTTCACGGACTACCGGGTTATACGAGCTTAAGTTTGCTAAATCGTCTGCTCTGACGGATGATTTTCTTACTTAATTTTGTATAATTGGTCGGTTCTGTTACAGGCACCGGGAGGAGCTCACTGGTCCCGTCGCCGGTGAGAGAGAGAGCACGCGGAGGGGAGGAGTCGGTCAGAGCCTCATGTCAGACACACGGAAAAAATTGTGTGTTTATAGATGCTAAAACACCCGTGTGGTGTTTAGCATTCCTGAAATTAAACGTCTCGGTTCAAGTGTTTTTTGAAAAAAAAAATCCGAATACAGTTGAAGTGTTCTCTACTTTCCTTTTGAAAATTGATTTCTCAACTGTAATATTACTATACGGTTGAAGTGTTCTCTACTTTCTTTTTGAAAATTGATCTCTCAACTGTGATATTACTAAAAATCAAAGCATCATGGCTCATGATGAGAGGATAATATATAAGCGTTATTACATTTCCACAATTTCAGGTAAAGCCACAAAAAATGTAACAATTTAAGACTTTTCAAAAAAAGGTAGAACGAAAAACTTTTTTTTTTGTGACTAGAACGAAAAACATTCGTGGACAACATTTCTGATAGGCGATAGTCCCCCACAGAAGGTTCCAATCAGTCATTGTGAAGCTAGCTGCCCTTGGCCCCTTGCACTCGCACTCTGGTCCAGTCCAGTCCATCCAACTTGCAAGCCCGAATCATCCAACCTACATCATCTTCTCTCTAATAATTCCATTCCAATTAAGCACCATCAATCTCCATCCAACCATCACCCAAATCCCATTTCCATCCAAAAATCACAATCTACAGGCGCTGGTAGGATTAATGACCTTATTAGCAGTAATAACAACACAGAAGAAACCTCCAATTTTCACCTTCCCATCCTACTACACTCCAGCCCTTTTGACTGGGTAGTGTAGTATACGTGGCCATCACATGGATTATGGGCCTTGTTTTGAGGCTGAGGCGCCAAAAACCACCGTCGTATGGTATCCATCCGTCCATCAGGTCCACGTGAACGCCATCGGGCTGGCCACGCTGTGCTTCCCGTCCGACCAGACGAGCCGGCCGAAGCCGGTGGTGCCCGACGGCTGCGACTTGGACGTGAACCTCACCGTGTAGCTCTTCTTCTCCCCCGCCGACGTGAACTCCAGCTCCATCGGCTCCACGGCCACGGCCACGCCCTTGGCGTCGGCGAGCGACGTCGACACCTTGTACGTGCCCGCCTCGCCCACGTTGGTCAGCGTGCGCCTGTGTGTCACGGTCGTCGAGTCCCCGCCGCCGTCGCCGTTCGCCGTCGAGTAGGCCACCGAGAAGGACGGGTAGTTGAGGCTGCCCACGGAGTAGGTCTTGTTCTCCGCGCACGCGTACACCCGGCTCCGCGCCACGGCGGCGATCATGGTGGAGCTGTACTTGAGCGCGCACAGGAAGTCCACGTAGTCACGGGTGCCCAGGTCGTACACCAGCCCCGGGTCCACCGCCCGCGCGGGGTCCACGTGCCCGGCGCCGTAGTCGAACGGCGTGGCCGCCTCGCCCGTCGCCGCGTCCAGCAGGGGCGACGACCCGGAGCCGCCGGAGTAGCTGGCGTAGGCCGTGGTCATCAGCGCCGAGCGCACGGCGGCGGGGCTCCACTCCGGGTGCGCGCTCCGGAGCAGCGCCGCCAGCCCGCTCACGTGCGGGCACGACATGGACGTGCCGGAGATGATGTTGAAGGCCACGCGGCGGGTGTCGGCTTCGAGGCCCGTCGGACCAGCCTTGCCCGTCCACGCCGCCAGGATGTTCACCCCGGGCGCGATCATGTCCGGCTTCAGGATCTCCGGCGTCACCATGTTGGGCCCGCGCGACGAGAACGCCGCCACCACTGGCGAGGGGCGCACCCCCACCTGCGTCCCGGCCACCACGATCGTCGCCGTGGGGTTCGGGTCGGAGGCCACGTACGACTTGATCGCCGTGCCTTCCCTCTCGCCGACTCCCGCGGCGGGGAGGAGGTGCGCGTCGGCGACGAGCTCCTGGCCGTTGGCGGCCGTGTTGGAGAGCACCATGCCGGCGCCTCCCGCGTCGCGCACGACGAGGCCCTTCTGGACGCGCGCGCTGACGCCGCGGTCGCACACGACGATCTTGCCGGCCACCTTCTCCGGCATGAGCGTCCCGGGCATGCACAGGTTCCCCGCGGTGGAGTTGGAGGCGTTGGCCGCGTACAGGATGGGGATCGGGGCGCTGGGGAGCGGCTTATTCCCGGAGTAGAGCGAAACGCCCGTGTAGTTCTTTCCGTCGCCGAGCACGACGTACGCCGGGAAGTCGCGGTCGAGCGTGCCGGCGCCGACGGTGGTGATCCACGGCGCCACGTTGGAGAGCGTGGAGCTCCCCGGGCCAGCGTTGCCCGCCGAGCAGGAGACGAGGACGTTCTGCTCCGTGGCTGCGAACGCGCCGATGGCGACGCTGTCGCGGGAGTAGTCGGCGGCGCCTCCCCCCAGCGAGAGTGAGAGCACGCCGCACCCGTCGGCGACGGCGGCGTCCATGCCCGCGAGGATGTCGGAGCTGAAGCACCCGCCGAGCCAGCACACCTTGTACACCGCGACGCGCGCGCGGGGCGCCATGCCGCGCGCCGTGCCTGCTGCGAAGCCGAAGAGGCTGGCGCCGGGGACGGCAGCTCCCGCGGCCGTGGAGCTGGTGTGCGTGCCGTGCCCGTCGTCGTCGCGCGGGGAGCGGGACTCCCGGTCCGTGTCCATGGGCCCCATCGCGGCCTCGTAGCCCTTGCTGAAGAACCGGGCGCCCACGAGCTTGCGATTGCAGGCGGCGAAGCCGCTGGCGCCGGCCTCGCACGCGCCCTTCCACCACGCGGGCACCTTGGCGAGGCCCGCGTCGTCGTAGCTCTTGCTCTCGGGCCAGGCGCCCGTGTCGAGCACCCCGACGACGACGTCGGCCGCGGTTCCGGACTGTGGGAACAGGCCCTGTCCGGCGTCTCCGCCGGCGATGCCCAGGAACTCGGGCGTCCGCGTGGTGTGCAGCTCGTACCGCGCCTCCGGGTTGACGGCCAGCACCCCGTCCGCGCACGCCAGGTCGCTCGCCTCCTGCGGCGTCAGGCGCGCAGAGAAGCCGTGCAGGACGGTGTCGTACGCGTACAGCATCATGGCGGGGGAGGCGGAGGCGGAGACGGAGCGCAGCGACGCGCCGTACCACTCGGCGTGGTCCGCGTACTCGGCCGGCATCGCCGACTTGGCCATGTGGACGATGTACGTCTTCCTCTTCTCGGCGGCGGCGACGGTGGCGGCGGCGGCGGCGAGCGCCAGGAGCAGCGCCCGCAGCATGCCGATGTTACGCATCTTTGCGTAGGTAGATAGATAGATAGATTCGCGCCTTATATTATGAAATGAATTGGTGGAGCAAGTCTGAGGCTACAAGAACGTGTGCTTATATATACACACGCACGCCCTGCGCACGTATGTATGTACACAGTGAGGGGAGGTGGAAGAGTGTGAGCAAAGATGGACTGGTTGGTGGTGTGCCAAAGACTGGAGCCTAGCCTAGGACGGCTAATAACATGTGTAGAAAAAGAGGTGAAGGTGTTGTGTGGTTAAGCGATTGCTTAATAAAAAAAAAATCAAAAGGAGTAAACCAGTTGATGATAAAGATGATCTGATTCTGATATCGATATCATCCACCACTGCTACATATGCCATAGGAAAAAGGAGACGACGAAAGGGTGGCGGTCACATGCATTTGTTTTATTTCTCGGCAAACTTTGGGACTTTTGGGGGGGTCACTTGGATTCACTGGCGGGCGGTGGATCGATCGGCGACGGGGATAGCTGTTGTTGCCTCCCCGTGGCTTATTAGCCTTTTTGGTGAGGGTGATGAGGCTTTATTTCAGGGGGTGCCTGTGGTCCGGCCGGCGGCCGGGTCGTTGTCAACGAGAGTTTGGGAGCGGGCGGGCGGCCATGAGCTGAGCTGGGCTTGTCGGCCGGCCGCCGCCGATAAAAGTCTAGTCGACTCACCTCTCATGGATTTGTGGAGCTAGCTGCAGAGCGCGTGTGCAGGGTATGTACCCTTGGTGTTCACATGCCGGACATGCTCACATGCATGTGTCATGTGTCGTACGTCTACGCGTAGCCTGGCGTCCAATGAGACCACCTACCGGACCAAAATGAGATTTCACCACCGTGGAGTGACCAAATTTCCTGATCCTTGAGAACGGACGACGCGGTTTACGTCAGGCAATGCAAGAGTCTTCTAAGTTCTAATGACTAATCTCGTCTCAGCTCTCAAGTGATCAATGATAAATCCAATAATTGAAGCTGAAGAAGAACCTCCTATCACAAATGTAAGGGATTTTGCTAAATCTCAGGTGCCTAAATTTTAGTTTTCATTCATGCGACGGTCATTGCATATATTTTATATTAAGATTGCAGCTCCAGTTCGTCTCAATTTTTGTAGACACAATCTGCAATTTTTTGCTTCGAGAATAAAAAAAACTGTTAGACAAAACCACAAACCTAACAAAATCTGATATGTGTTGGTACGAAGACAATTTAACAATTTATAATTATTTTATAGTCAAACAAGAACAAAAATTCGATAGGTTATGACACAAAGACACATAACAAATCACAAAAGTGACAATTTACTTGTATTAATTGATAGTACAAGAGTCAAGAGTGCTACTTGAAATCGTCTTAAAATTCAGGCACCTAAAATATAATATATATCAAGTTTGCTTTGCGCAGGACATTTTTTTTTACTTTTGACTATAAATCATACTACTACTAATCGAATATTTTCTTTAGATCCTCCATGTTAATTGTCACAAGGTATGCTAGCAAAAAATACAAATTCTGCAAATTATTATAAAAAATCATAATATTTAACCATCAATTGATAGAATCTATTTTTCATTCGCCATATTAGTCATTGTACCTACTCTAATTTTTAAAAATTACACACACCTATAATTATGGGAATACTCTAAAATCAACCTCTATATTATTAAAGTACTTACTTCTACTATAATGACAAATAACGTAAAGTAAGCCCCTAATCTTCATCTAAATTACCTAATTATCACATCTAAAGTAACTCACTCAATTAATCTAAATTAACTATATCTATGATTATTAAAAATATCCTAAAGTAACACTATATATGGCATCATGAAAAAATAATGTGAAGTAACCCTAAAATTTGCACCTAAATTAGCTACCTCCACCATTATGAAAAAATATCTTCAAGCAATCTTTATCTATGTCATTATAAAAAACCCTAAAGCAACACCTTAAATTTGCATATAAATTACCAACCTCTACCATTACCAAAAATAGCCTAAACTAAATCCAAATATAGAACTAGCTACATGTGTCATTATAAAAATAATCCTAAAGTTCCTCAATATATGCTCCAAAATTATCCACGTACTTTTGCTATTGTCATTATAAAAAACTACTAACTCAACGCATGCATGCATGATGTTTTTTTTACTATTCACACCATGTATACATGTATGTACGAAATATAATAATCATATTTATTTCCAAGCAAATACATATCTTAAGCTAAGGTTTTAAGTGAACACATGATGAACAGACATAAAAGTGAGATTCAAAGGTGAAAATATGAATATAAATATAGATGGAAAAGTGTACAGAGTATTTGGTAACTAAGGGTCTATTACAATTAGAAAAAGATAAGAAAGTATACATATGAATATTGGATTACAATATGAATAAATTAGCGAGAAAATATGAGCAATTTCAATTTGCAATATAGGCCCTAAAATTATCAATCTTACTACTACTGATTAGAGGCCTTAAACTGGGCCTTCATTTCAATTCTCACAAGACGCAATATTGGAAATTCTCATAATAATCAGAAAGATCTTGTCATCAATTCAGTAGAAATTGTGAGTAGTTTTAGGTACTAATTATAGACGAATTACCAATATATGTCTCCTACAATTTTAGCTCGTGTAGGAGCATGGGTTGATGGTCTAATACATTTCTGACACAAATGTAAATCCATATATTCCAAACTACTACTATATGGCTCAATTGTATCAGGCAGAATTGGCTTTACATCGTCATCTGCAAGCCTGCAACAGCAATTGGTGCTCATCATCTTCAGTCAAATAGTCAAACTTGACCCAAAACCTGAAAGTTGATGGACGGGATCGATGGTAACAATTGTTGACCAAAAACTTAATTTGTTTTAGATCCTGCTAAGGGCCGGGCAACCCGCACTTGCTTCATTTACAACAGCACGAAAAAACAAGGAGTGAATCTTCCAAGTTTGTCATGTGCTAGAAACAGTCGTCATGCAGTTGTCTAATTCTTTTGGATAGCCGAATATTGTTAGAATTAAGTTTTGAGTTGGACACCTTTGGTTTTGATATAACTTAATGTAATAAGTGGCCCGATGATTCTCTTGCTCATAATGGTTAAAAGCCGGATGTTTATTGTTTTATCTAAACAAATGTTTTTCCTACTATTGCAAAGCAATATTGTAGTATTTGTTAGTCAACTCAAGAGTACGTATATATAGGTACACGCCTCCGTACGGTGCGTGACGTGATAGGATTTGCTTGAGGATGACCAATAACTTGAGCGTGCGTGCGTGATTAAGATGAAGTGTAAACAAAGGTGAGCCATCAAAGTACTCAACCCATTGCATCTCCCAACTTGCATTCCAATGATGAATTGCACATTATTGCATGATATATAAATTATCTATCATCTGTGCCTGGCGTGATGATGTAACCAACCTGTGGACCAAGATAGCCCATAATAGTAGCTGCCAATATCAAATCGGATAGCGAGGGAGAGGATAAAGAGAGGAGCGAGGAGGAAGAGGAATCTAACCGGCAACAAATCCCTAAACGCACTACAGGAAACCGGGACTTTGCCCAGTGCTCAAATCTTTACCGAGTGCCAAATATCGGGCACTCTCAAAAGGCCACCTTGCCGAAAGTGCCGCTCTCAAGCGAAACTTGGCACTCGACAAATAGGGCTTTGCCGAAAGTAGTGTCCGCTTTTCGGTAAAATAAGGCACTAAGCAAAGCTAAACTTTGCCCAGTGCGGACACTCGGCAAAGTTGGGCACTTGGCAAAGAGGCGCCGGGGATAACGGTACCAACGCCGTCCTCTTTGCCGAAAGTGCCTTCTGTTTGGCTTTTCGGCAAATATTGGCTTTTTGCCAGAAGTGCCTAGGGTTAGCATTCGGCAAAATATTCACTTTGCCGAGTGCCAAACCTTAACTTTTCGGCAAAATAATTTTTTTTTTTTTTTTTGCCACCAACTTTTTTTCTTAGATTTGTATTTGTACCATGAACAACATGTTCAAATTTGGCACAATTTCATTGATGTTTGCTATATTTCTTCACTTTATTTACGTGATTTCTTGCAAATTTTTCAAAAATGTAGGTTTGATATGCATGTGCATCGAATAATAGTTTTGATCATTCAAAAATGTTATTCTTGTTTGTTAGATGTCGCTTTATGCTAGAATTAAATAAAGCTGTCTCCAAATTCATCGACGTGCTCGCGAGAGCAGCGTGATCGAACTTAACGTGGAGTGGTTATTTAATTTATATAAAATTCAAGCGAATCCGAAAATCATGAAACTTGGCGAGATGTCGTGATATCTATGCATATATTCGATGCGTAAAAATCATCAAAAGCGTTTCAAAAACGTCATTCGTGAAAAATGCAAGAAAATAAACAAAGTGAAGAAATATAGCAAACAACAATGAAATTGTGCCAAATTTGAACATGTTGTTCATGGTACAAATACAAATCTAAGAAAAAAGTTAGCAAAAAAAAAAAAATTATTTTGCCGAAAGTGCCAAGGTTTGGCACTCGACAAAGTGAATATTTTGCCGAAAGTGCTAACCCTAGGCACTCGGCAAAAAGCCAGACAGATTTTTTAATTCTTTATTTCGCCGAGTGCGGATCGGGGCACTCGGCAAAATACTTTCTGCTTGAAAGTGCCCCGGATCGGCACTCGGCAAAGAGGTTTGAAATATAAAAACCGGACACACGCACACACACCACACACACACCACGCACACACACACACACACACACACACGCTGCCTGCGCACGCTTGCCCTGGCCACAGCAGCATGCCAAGGCTGGCCGGGCCGGCATGCCTCCCCGCCCCTGCCCCGGCTCCGCAGCCTGCCCTGCCGCCCGCCGTGCCTGTGATGAAAGGAGGAGGAGGAGGAGGAGGAGGAGGAAGGAGGAGGAAGGAGAAGAAGGGAGGAGGAAGAAGAAGAAAGAGAAGGAGGAGGAGAAGGAGAGGAAGGAGAAGGGAGGAGAAGGAGGCAGGGGAGAAGAG